CCCCAAAACCCCAAAACCCCAAAACCCCTGTGGGAAAATTTTATATTGGATATGAGAAAATTAAATTAATTTATATTAATCTTAACTTATGAGCTTTTTGTGTAAAAACTTCACGATTACTGATCTTTCCCAGAAAGTGCTTACTAATAAAGCGGTATCAATGCCAAGCCAGAAATTATCTGAAAAATTCAACTTGCCATTAATATTTTGTTCTGAAGATGATTTGCCAGTTCCAGTATTATGCAAGCCAGATTTGTCAAGAAAAGGAACTCAACTATTTGAGCTAACTGATTCTCATACAAGAACCATCAGTGCAAACAGTCCTCTCATATCAAGCAGAATTTGTACAGACAATCAACTCTTTCTTAATAATGCGAGTAAGGCTCAAACAAATTGGGAAAATTTAAGCCTGCTGACAAGTTCAAGAAAATTGCCCAATAAAAAATCCTCATCCAAACAAAATCAAGAGGATTGGATATCCATAAAGATCAAAGCTCAACAGAACCCGAAGAAAGAGTCCACAAAAGATCTCATGAAGAATACTAGTAATTTAGTGAATACTGAGCCTAGGAGGTTCCCCCAAATCTTCTCTAAAGCTAGGGTAGGTGATCAGTTAGAAGCCTTAAAGTATTATAATCACTCAGTTATTTTTCTCACTACCCAAAATAATGAGAGGAGGTTTATAAACTGTGGAGCACCAGGATGTAATCAATCCTTCAGGACTATCAAAAAGTTCTTGAAACATGCTAAGCTTCATCAAAAGGCTACTCCTTTTGAGTGTAGGCATTGATGCAGACAATTTATATCTAAGAGCAGTCTGAAGAAACACGTTCTGAATCATAAAAGGTCAAAATTCGAACTTTTTGACACCTATAAACTAACTCCCACACCAAACAAGCTCAACCTAACTGACTCATAGATTTTTAGTCATGACTAGTCAATAAGCTTGCCAAGACAAAATCCAGCATGAAACCTGACTTACTTACCACTCCTAAATTACTCTCAATAATTCTTCACCCTTAATTTCTAAACCTCCAGTCAGATCCAACCTTTGGACATCAATCCCAAACAAAATCGTTCATCCTCCCTTCCATTATATCTTTCCCAAAATCCTTAATCTAACCTAACTGAAACCTTCTTCCTGATCCAGCTACTCTCGCTTGATTAAATCCCTGTTGAAGCAGTCATCTTCATGACTGAATAGCACTTGGCTGGATTTCTCTTGGCTTGGATTATGAGATGATCTGGCTAGGGCTGGGCTTAATGGGATTTGTTCGGGGGTTGGCAAGATGTGTTGTACTGAATGGAAATTGGAGTACAAGGCTAGGAAGTGGGAATTATGGGTTAGATGGGGAAGGGGCAGCGGAGGGTTTTGAGGGAGGATGGTATAGGAGATATTTGGGCAGATAGGGGGTTTTGGTTCAATCTGGTAAGGTTTTAGGGGTTTTGGGGTTTTGGGGTTTTGGGGTTTTGGGG